AAAAATGCATGTCATTTCAGTGACCTACTAGAGATGAACAAAAACAGAAATTAACAAGGAAAGCCTGGATTCTTACAAAATAGTCTGCCATCCAGTTGCACTCAAAGGGTTCTGTACCCTCTCCCAATTCTGTTTCTATGTTCTAAATAACCCTCTTACAAAGATGCTTTTTATTTTAAAAAAAGGACCTGAGGGCTTAGTTACAAGCATTTCCATGTAATGCTGTAGTTAGCTTCTATAACTGTGAAGAGCTACTGTTCCCCCACCTCTCCTTTTTATTTCAATAGAAAAACATAACTGTTTTGGGGATGTGGGGTGGGGATCAACTGGCTTCCTTACATCTAAGCCAGTAATGAGGAACCTCTGGCCCATAGGCCTAATTAGTCAGTGATGCTGTTTCAGCCAAGCCACAACCACCTGCCTATCTGTGGGGCAAATAAAGTTGTGGCTGGTCCAAAAGGGAGTTTGTGGGCACAGACTATCGTCTATCTGGTTGGCATTACCTACAAAGCCTTGTGCTCAGTGCTTTACAAATGGCAATGAACAGCAGATCATCAAGACTTACAAAGTGCTGTGCACCCACACTATTTGATTCAGATCCATGCAGGCAAAAATGGCTCACCTGGCTTCATTGTGATTTCAGGTGATTGACAAGTGTGTGGCATGATGTTAGTAAGTATTTTTGTGGGTTAATAAGTTGCAAGGCTGTTACAGGAGAGGCAACATAGAAAGCACAAATCAAGACAAAAATGTGTAATGCTTCTAAGTATCCAGCTATAGGGGCCCCGCAGGACGAATGCCTCGCAAGACGAAAAACTCGCTAGACGAAAGGGTTTCCGTTTTGAGTCGTTCCGCAGACGAATTTCCCATGGTTGCTTGCAAGAAACCCAGAAGTTCATTTCCAAGCCCCTAAGCCTAATAGCCTAGCTAAAAGCCGCAAGCTGTGCTTCGCGACGAAAAAACCGCAAGACGTATGACTGCAGAACGGATAATTCGTTGCGTTCTAAACGATAGTGGACAATCACCAAATATAGGATTGGACCTAGTAAAAACCCAGAAGCATCACCTTCTAATAAAAGCAAGTTCTCAAGTTGTGACCAATCATGAAAATAGGGCATACAAATGAAAAATCAATGATTAATGTGTACAAACAGAAGAAATGAAGAGAACGTGCATGATTGAATTCAATGGGCCTCAATCCCCACTTTAAGTGCATAGCCCAAAAGAAATAGAAGACTAGATGTAAAGGGTTTGACATCACAATGAGATAAATCAGGGCTTGAAAAATAGCCATTTGCCTGTTACCCGTGGAAGGCAAATAAACCACCTCCAGAAGGGACAGAAGCAATTTTACATTTGCAGAGAATTGGATTTTTCTTCTCTTTGATCTCAGTGGTCCAGTTATGGACTGTTATTAAACTAGGAACTTCTAATTAACCTCAGCTTTGTGTTTATCTGAACAGGTAAAAACTAATTACTCACTTTGGAACAATCCAGGATCTTAAACCAATGAGGCTTTAAGAAACTGGTTTGTTCTGAAGCTGGTAGCCATAGATTCCTGAACAGATAAAATGGGAAACTATGGTTAATTAGAGACATCCTGGTTTAATTATAGCTCGCTGCAGAGAGCAGCAAAGGGGCTGAATGTGCAGGCAGAAGGCTCATGTATAACTTGGTTAGCACTGTCCAAACACAGCCAGGGTGTCACAAACTTCTAATGTGTATATATTTGTTCTATTTGCACCGGTATACCAGTCATATATTAAATGTATACTACCCACATAATAAAAGAATGAGGGTGGTTTAAAACAGATTTAAAACTACATCACCACAAGACTGCAGGGTGCTGAATAAAGGCAGAATTCTAAATAGATACCAGAAGTGGTACTGTAACATCAGATGTTAAAATACTGTAGTGGGGAAATAAAAAGGTCCTTTCAGCACTGCTCAAAAACATCAGCATAGGCACTAAATAAGGCACACAACCCCCAGCTCAGTCAACACCAGCCCCCTGGGAAGATCCCAGACCATGTAGGTCTTTTATGTAGAAGAAGGCAAGTACAACATCTAGTAGACTTATTTGTACAGCTGGTTGCAACACACAGGCCCAACAGGTTACCCTAAAAAATACCTAAAATATTTATTTTCTGGCAGTTCAGAGTCTACTTCTGTCACAAAGGATGGGAGGTCAACACACCCTAAACTGTACTTACTTAGGCAGCCTCAATTAACATACAGTACTAGGGAGCTTCAAATTAATCAAAGGACAAAGTGCTGCTAATGTTTTACACAATAATGAAGCTGCTGTCCAAATGAGGAGTACTAAAAAAGAAAAAGCTCTCAATATTTAATAAAACATTCTTATCCACTCTCCTCCATATGACATGTAAAATAATAGGAACACTCTTCTTTACATAGATAACATACTTGCTGAAATATAAATTCTTCTGCTGCAGGGCCAGATTAAGACCTTTATAGCCCTAAGCACTGAAAAGAGTATGATAACCCCATATGTTATTCAAAATAAAAAGCAGTACTAACCATAAAATAAACATTTTTTCAAAATAACACAAAACTTATATGTATGCTGAAATGTACATGCATGTGCAACACATGACAGGAACTGATTTCCTTGCATTATTTCAATCTAGGAGAGTAGGATGCACCTTGGTTCGGGTGGAGATAGGTAATAAAAAGAGAACAGAAAAATGGGGGAAGTGTGTAGTGTGCAAGGAAGTCCAACAAAATTCTGATTTTTCCTATAATAACTTCAATGTTTTTTTAAAAAATATATCAGATGTCAAACTCAAAAAATTCTCTCCCTTCTTTTGTTGCTAAGTGGTTCTGTGGTACATGAGCACTAGAAGGTGTGTGTGTGAATCTTCAAGCAACTCTGCAAGCAACTCAAGTTAGTACTTTATTTAATCTCAAAATCTGAATCTACATTTGGGACACTGTATTAATGCAATTGGGACGCAGGTGGCGCTGTGGGTTAAAGCCTCAGCACCTAGGACTTGCCGATCGAAAGGTCGGCGGTTCGAATCCCTGCGGCGGGGTGCGCTCCTGTCGTTCGGTCCCAGCGCCTGCCAACCTAGCAGTTCGAAAGCACCCCCGGGTGCAAGTAGATAAATAGGGACCGCTTACTAGCGGGAAGGTAAACGGTGTTTCCGTGTGCGGCTCTGGCTCGCCAGAGCAGCGATGTCACGCTGGCCACGTGACCCGGAAGTGTCTCCGGACAGCACTGGCTCCCGGCCTATAGAGTGAGATGAGCGCACAACCCTAGAGTCTGGCAAGACTGGCCCGTACGGGCAGGGGTACCTTTACCTTTACCTTTTATTAATGCAATTATACATCCTAGTCCATTGAGTATTTAACTCGATAATGAAAAGCAACGACCCTAGGAATGTTCTCTTCAAGCCAGTGTAGGGGGGAAAGTATCTCAGTTTCAGATGCCACTTGGAAGAAAAAAAGCACATGCTTCTTGTTTGGAAAAACACTAGAGGGCTAAAGGTTAAAACGAGAAGTTACCTATAGCACAGGGTTGGTAACACAGAGAAACAGAAAAACTAAAGAATGGGAGAATTGACAGAGATTGGTTTGGGCACCAGGAAAATAACAGTATGAAGAATCTACTGAAAAGGGACAATTTCAAGCATAAAGCCAGCAGGCTGGCAGTCCAGTGCCAATCCATGACAAGAGAGTGGGAGAAACAGACTGTGCAATTTGGGGTGCTGTCACTCTGCTTTTTGTCAACTTTGCAGAATCACAAGGCAGCCACTATGCAAGATTATATGCTCTACTTTATGGGCACTTCCTGGTCATTATTTCACCTTGCCACATCTGCGCCCCACCTTCCCTTCAAACATTCTTTAGGAGCCTTTGATGCTCCCTGGCATCATCCAGCCACAGCTGATTCATCTTCACTTTCTGCAACACATGTCTCACAAAGCCCACTTCATGGCCACTAGCACTGCTTTACCCTCAGTGAGTGGTTATCCCCCATCACACCCCACCCAGGAACATTAATTCTTTCCATGGGTTTCCTTCCCCATGCTTTTTTGTAGGAAACATTTTGTGGCAACACCCAACAAACCAAAAGGAGCCTCTTTCAAAGCGAACACAGTTAAGAAGCGGTCAATTTAAATAGAAATACCAAGGATGGCAGAGCTCGATTTCTCCATCCTGGTGCTCAAATACCTGTATGACATATGCCCTGTGATGAAGAACGCTCCGTTCTCCATCTCTACCCATTGTGGTGATAAAAACCACATTGGCGTGGAGATAAAAATAAAATATATATTTATTCAATTTGCATGAGATAATTTATTAAATTTGCGAAATTAAAAGCACTTCCTCCCACAGCACAGTAATTAACTTATGGGATTCCAGCGCAGGATGAGCTTTACAGGATTAGGTAGATTCATGGAGAGCAAGCACACCTAACAGGCATTCACAAGGCTAGCAAAGCAAAGGCACCGTGCTCAGAGAAGGATGCTTCTTCAGTACCAGGGCATCAGAGAGAGAGGGAGGGAGAGAGGAAGGAAGATAGATAGATAATAGTATAAATATATATTAATATACCCCGCCCATCCGGCTGGGTTTCCCCAGCCACTCTGGAGAGAGGGACAGAGGCCAGTGTTGCCCGCAGCACCCCTGACTATCATTCAAGGCTTGAAAACAACTGACAGAGAGAAAAGGGGTGGGGGTGGCATTATTTTGCTTTCACGCCCCTCTCAGGAAACGTCTGAACGGGCGCTGCTAGTTTAGAAGCCAACGGCCTGGGCCTTTTACAGCAGGCACTTTGCCCATGCTCAGATGCACCCTTTCCCCCCCTCACAGCTCATTTGCACGTTTTGCAAAGCCCAGGAGCGGAGGGCGAGGGTGAGCCGCGGCTCCATTGAGATGGGGGAAAAGAACGAAAGAAAGGGGCACGCATATATCTATGTATGTTTCGGGAGGGGGTCTATAGGATTAGCGCAGTGGCTGCGCGTTTCTCTCACCAGAAGATCAGGTTGGCGCAGAGGAAGGCGGCCAAAGCGCAGAACGGCCTCTTCCAAGTCGCCGCCGCCTCCCGCCCGCCGACGGGCTTCGCCTCACAGCCCCCGTCCTCGTCCTCTTCCGCCAGCCGTTCCCAGTCCAGGCGACCCGGCGCCGCCACCTGCTCCTTCTCGTCAGCCATCTCGGTCGGGGCGGCTGACCAGAACCGAGATGAGGAGGCGAGCCGGCTGGGCGGGGTTTGTGTACATCCGGGTACCAGGCACGCCCGCCCGCCTTCTCGGCTGCCGCAGACCAACGAGGAGCTTCCGACGCGGCTGGGCGGCGCCGGCGATTGGTTAGCTTGGGGAGAGAGAGCAGCGGCGAGAGCGCAGAAGCCGGCGGGCGAGCGCGCGCGCGGTGGCGGCGGCGGGGGGGAGGTGAAAGGAGGAGAAGCTGGGCGTGGCGAGGCGGCGCGAGCGGAGTATAAATCTCAAGAGGCGTGGCGCGTGCGCAGTGGGTGAGTGGCGGTTTAGAATGTTGGGAGACGCCGTTGGGCGTTTGGAAAAACAAAATAAAACCCGGGGAGGAAGCTGCGCCTCACGCGCTGGAAAGGCGATAAGGGTGGGCAAGTGGGGGTGTTTTATGATTTATACCACTACCTTTCTGGAAAATGCTTTCGGTGCTTTATAAGTTCCCCTTTAGAGAGGGAGAAAAGGAGTCGCTGAGGGAAATGTACAATTTATTATTATTATTATTACTATTAAGCTTTATGTATTTATTTATTTATACATTGCTTTTTTCCCTGACAGGGACTCAGAATGGCTTACAGATAAAACTATGAACAGCTGTATACCCTCCAACATTTCTCTGATAATAATACGAAAGCATATATATATATATATATATATATATATATATATAGCCATTTAAAAAAAAATGCTTTCCCATAATTCTAATTTTATTATTTATACCCCACCCATCTGACAGGGTTGCCCCAGCCACTCTGGGCAACTTCAGTCAAGGTACCACTGTACAGTCAAACCTCGGAACTGGAACGCAAATCCATTCTGGAAGGACATTTGACTTCCGAAATGTTCCGAGTTCTGAGGCGCAGCTTCCAGTTGGTTCTTGAACTCACTGGAAGTTGCGTTGGATGTTCGTTTTCTGAGGAACGTTAAAAAACCGAAGAATTTACTTCTGGGTTTTCGACGTTTGGGAATTCGAAACATTCGGCAATGGAGCGGTTTGAGAACTGAGGTTTGACTGTACAGTGGTACCTTGGTTTTCAAACTTAATCCATTCCAGAAGTCTGTTCCAAAACCAAAGCGTTCCAAAACCAAGGCACGCTTTCCCATAGAAAGGAATGCAAAACGGATTAATCCGTTCCAGACTTTTAAAAACAATTCCTGAAACAGCAATTTAACATGGATTTTACTAACATGGATTTTACTATCTAACGAGACCATTGATCCATAAAATGAAAGCAATAATCAATGTAAGGTAAAGGTAAAGGTACCCCTGCCCATACGGGCCAGTCTTGACAGACTCTAGGGTTGTGCGCCCATCTCACTCAAGAGGCCGGGGGCCAGCGCTGTCCGGAGACACTTCCGGATCACGTGGCCAGCGTGACATCGCTGCTCTGGCGAGCCAGAGCCGCACACGGAAACGCCGTTTACCTTCCCGCTAGTAAGCGGTCCCTATTTATCTACTTGCACCCGGAGGTGCTTTCGAACTGCTAGGTTGGCAGGCGCTGGGACCGAGCAACGGGAGCGCACCCCGCCGCGGGGATTCGAACCGCTGACCTTTCGATCGGCAAGCCCTAGGCGCTGAGGCTTTTACCCACAGCGCCACCCGCGTCCCTAATAATCAATGTACTGCACTATAAAATAAATAAGTATTGTACTGTAGATGATAAAAATTTTAAAAAATAAATCTTATCTGCACTGATGATAGTCACTGTTTGGACGGGGGTGCTTTTATCCATTTCTCAAGAGGCATGTCACACAATCAATCAAATCAGTAGCTGAACTGGGTTCCACAGTCACAAAAACAAATTAACCAAAAAAAGCCTCAAAAACAAAAACGCAAAATAAATAGCAAAAACAAAAGCAGGTGCAGGTGCCCTGGAAACAATAGCTGACAACCACATTGAATGTTTGGCTTCTGAAAAACGTTCGAAAACAGGAACACTTCTGAGTTTTTGGCGTTTAGGAACAGAGACGTTTGAGTGCCAAGGTACCACTGTATATAAAAAACATAATACAGGGCTGCCTTCAGATAACTTCTAAAGGTTGTATAGTTATTTACCTCCTTGGCTTGGTGGTCACATAACTCCATACCCACCAACATTTCTCCAGTGAAAATAGTTCCAGTTACAGATAGGTAGCCGTGTTGGTCTGCCATAGTCAAAACAAAACAAAATTCCTTCCAGTAGCACCTTAAAGACCAACTAAGTTAGTTCTTGGTATGAGCTTTCATGTGCATGCACACTTCTTCAGATATCTGAAGAAGTGTGCATGCACACGAAAGCTCATACCAAGAACTAACTTAGTTGGTCTTTAAGGTGCTACTAGAAGGAATTTTTTTTGCAGTGAAAATAGGTAAGTCCTAAGGAAAAGCGGAATGTTCCAGGATCAAATCAGAAACTGGGGCAGCTTCTGTAAATCCAGGACTGTCCCTGAGTCTGCAGCTAAGTGTTTGATTTCAGATCAGTTTTTTTAAACCTCCTTAAAAACTACTCATAGAGGCTGTCGGGCATGCTGGAGGCATGCACCATATAAGAGTTTTTCAACAAAAGGTTAGTAAAAGAGAAAGGTCCCTTCCCCACTGCTTGTTAAGAAGCAGGTATGGATAAATTGCAGGTGGCGCTGTGGGTTAAAGCCTCAGCACCTAGGACTTGCCGATCGAAAGGTCGGCGGTTTGAATCCCTGCGGCGGGGTGCGCTCCTGTCGTTCGGTCCCAGCGCCTGCCAACCTAGCTGTTCGAAAGCAGCTTCGGGTGCAAGTAGATAAATAGGGACCGCTTTCTAGCGGGAAGGTAAACGGTGTTCCGTGTGCTGCCCTGGCTTGCCAGAGCAGCGATGTCACGCTGGCCACGTGACCCGGAAGTGTCTGCGGACAGCACTGGCTCCCGACCTATAGAGTGAGATGAGCGCACAACCCTAGAGTCTGGCAAGACTGGCCCGTACGGGCAGGGGTACCTTTACCTTTACCTATGGATAAATTCCCTTTTCTGTCTGATCAGTGAAGAAAAAAGGGCTCATTCTCCTCCACCCCGCTTATTATTATTGAAGGGAATAATAAGGTGAAGGGGCAGCAGAAGGCATTTTGCCCAGGCCCTCTTAAACCTGGTTGTGCCACTTTTGTCCTTGAAACTGTCTCAGATGAGTGGTCTTGTTTTGCCTCTGTCTCAACTCTGCTTACAAGGTCAGTTATTTTAAACAACAATGTTCCAAACTAAGCAAAACAAATAATGGTGGTTTTTTTGTTTTTTGTTTTAAAAATGGTCAGACCCAAGGAATGGAAGAAGCTCGACGAGTTGGAAGCTGGAGGACCCTGAGGAGGACCCTACCCCAGGATGGAAGAGGTAGAATCAGGACCCAGGTAAGTGCCTGATTCTGGGAACTGGTCTTGTGGCCTGGAGGATAGAGATCAGGATCCAAGGAGTGTGGTCCCTCAGACACTAGACACCCCTACCCTAACACCTATTGCCATGGAGCTGCTCCAGCACCCAGTCCACCTCTGTCTCTATGGAGACGACAACACCGTTGAAAACAAACCTTGTGGAGTTAACCCACTCAAAGGAGTGCCTGTTTACTTGCCTGGTCTTGTGACTCTGGCCACTTACTGTGCAAATACAGTTGTGTCCCCCTCAGTCTTCTAAAGGAAGGTGCAGGGGCATGTTGATCGTTGTATCAATGTCTTAGCATGCACTGAACCTCTTCTGTACCTGCTGAACCATATAATCTGTTGTTTGCCTTATGTACCAATCTGATTTGAGCGTTAAAGCCTTTGGCAGAACTACAGCTGGGAGCTGAGAGTTCTTCATCCAGTAGTGAGGTCTAGGGCAGTTTGAATTTCCAAGCTCACCATCATTTTGATGGGTTCTCTTTCAGCCACACGGACATTCTGGAATGCTGAGCCCAGGATTAGAGGAGAAGCAGTAGAATATTCAGAACCAACAGTTACTGGCAGTTACTCAAAACTTCCTCTGTGGATTACTTACTTAGTCCACTTATATCCCATCTTTCTTCCATCACAGAATTAAAGACAGCATATGTATGAGTTCACCAGGCAGTCTCCTATTCATGTGCTGATTGATGCAGACCCCCTTAGCTTTAGCAAGATAGATTGGGTTGTACTAAAGCTGTGGGGTTTGACCAAACTGCGGGAGGTAGTGGAGGACAGAGGTGCCTGGCGTGCTCTGGTCCATGGGGTCACGAAGAGTCGGACACGACTAAACGACTAAACAACAACAAAGCTGTGGGACAAATTCTGAATGTTTCCTTTGAACAGTTCCTCTGAATCTTCATCTGATAAAAATGAGGACATTTTGGACTCATTAAGACTCCTTTTTAAAGTAGTCTGAAATATCAATTCAATAAAGTACTGAAAAGTTTTAAATAGACTAGTCAATTTCCAGTTCTTCCTTTTTCTAGTCTCCTCCTTTTTCTAGTCTCCTCAATTAGCAGTCAGAATGAACTAAATCACACTAATTCCCACTCATAACCAGTTTCTCACACTCCACACATTACTTTCCCTGTTGTCTTCTTTGCTTACCTCATTTCCCATCTTCTGTAGCTCCATTGTCTGTATTATATAGTATTAGATATTTGTCTATCCCAAAGGCTCTGAACACTTTGTACCTGAAGGTGGACTATTTGCAACTTCTGTGTCTTTGGTCACATGCTGGAGGTCACCTGGACAGACCTGCAAATTCAGTCACAACTTGGCATATCCTACTTTCAAAGTGGACCTAGTGGGCTGTGCATCCTTTAAGATTCCTCTGTCTCTATGGAAACCAGAACCCTAACATTGTGAAATTAGAAGAGGCAGGATCCCTTAAAAGGCACAGCTCCTTTAGAGTAGGGAGGCGTGTTCTGTGCAGATAAAGTGCTGTTGGAAAATGGAATCTTGGCTGAAAGTGGAGAGTTTTCAGGCTCCTTTTTTTAAGTAGTCTAAAATATCAAACCAATTAACGACTAAAAGTTTTAAATAGACTAGTAAATCTCCAGGTCTTCCTTTGCACCACATCCTGA